TGGTGGTGGTGCTGGTGGTGGTGATGGTGGAGGTGGAGGTGGAGGAGGTGCGTGTATGGTTCTATGGTTTGTGGAGTCGGACTTGAGATTTTCGAGTTCAAGGTCGGGGGGCTCTGCAGCTTCGAAATGGGTTCGGTGCCCTGATGGTTACGTGTTTGTGCTTAGATTCTGAGGTTCCACGCTGGAAAGTCACAAAGCAAACATATCCAAACCAAGCCCTGTCTGACTCTGAACCCCTACATGCAAAAGCCTGGACCCTCAACCACACAAATCTCGCAACACTCCAAAGCCATGAGACGATCTGCATGTTCCCACCGGCAGCCCCTCCTTTCAAGATCTGTCTCCATACGTCAGGAGCCCAAGGAGGAGGAGGCAGCGCAGGCACCTGCGGAGGCTCCGGGAAAGTGGTGGCCGTAAACCAAGACTTTCATCAATGAAGGGATTTCTCCCAAATGTGGGGGTTTGCACTTACATGACAACGTGCAGACCTGAGTTTCAGGGCTCCTCTTTCAAAAGCCACCTTGGCGCCATTTGCGCAGTGGAGGCCTTGTGTACAAGGAACAGATCTTTATGCGCCTTCCTGCCCTCTGCCTCTTAACCATCGACCATCTTTATAATCCTAAACACTAAACCTTCTTGCTCTTCAACCCTGGCCGATCGGTTCAGAGCTTGGAGATTCCAAATGCCCAAGTACCTCATGGCTTTTGAGTACAGCCACTGAACAAATTGGTCTTGTTGGGGGCCCCTGCAGTAAGGATTTGAGAAATACCCGAAGAGTGGCGAGACGATTTTGGAGCTCACACGAGCTATATGGCTTTGGATTCGGAACCTAAGCACTCTTTCTTAAACACGCTACGCGCCTAGATCCTGCGCCCCAAAGTCGAATCAGAGATCATCATCCTGAAATGTGGGCCCTCATAATTTGAGCAAACCTGGAGGCCAGCAAGCCAGCAGTGGAGGAGCATCCAGTGTTGAAGAGCGAGCAGACGGGCTTCTCCCTCTGAGCCCCTTCGGGCCAACGATGCCCTTAATGTTTTTTTTTCGTGCTGGATGGTTCGTGTGTTTTGGGAGTAGGCTTCAGGATGTTTAGAGATATTTGTTGAGCTTTAGAGCCCCGAGTTTCTGACATCCAAGATCAAAACTTCCAAAGATTTTCTCCTGTGCGAAACCAGATGAATGCCTGGATTAGACGGACGATAGTCTTTGTTGGGCCCATCCGGTGTAAGCTTGGGAAGCATCTCAATCGCTGAGCCCGTGGCTGTTCATGCACTTGAATCAAGGATCGTAAGCATGATGAAAAGAGTATTACTGTAGCAGCAATAGTAGAAATACTTATGTCATGTGGTACTCATGCAGAAGGATGGCACATGGCATTTTCATATGCATACCGGTTTGTTGAGGATGTGGAGTGGAGTCTAGGGCTTTGATACACATGACAAATGGGAACCAGGGTGTCTTATTGTTAAAGCACTTTTGAGTTTTGTCAAAACTTGCTCTTTCTGAGCATCGAGAGGTACAAAATTCACAGCAAAGCCAGCGCCTTTGAACATGCCACCAAAAGCACTGGCAGCACCAGCTGCCAGTTTTGATGAAAGCGTAGTTATGTCCAAGCCAGGATAGTCGCAGCCACAACAAGGACACTGGGCATCAGCTCGTCCTATGCTGAAGGTCATGGTGGTGAATGGACTTTGCACGCAAGTCTAAGACCTTCCAGCGCAGCAATCTCTTGTTCAACCGATTTTTTCAGAGGACTAGCCGGAGCTTCCTGGGTACATCAGCCATACAACCTACCCAAAACCCTAAACGCTACGCATCCTGAACCCTAAGCCCTGAGCCCACTCACGGTTGTCACTAGAAATTTGCAAGTAGGACAGGGGTGTCGTGTATTACTGGAGGTGTTGAGATTATTCTCGGTCATTCGCCTCTTACTCCAGCTGGCATCTACATAGATTGACCCTGGTTTTGGTTCATGTCGGAAACGCAGAACCAGGTAAGCTACGACGTTTCATGCATGGGTAACGGAATAGGTGTTAGCACGTGAACGACAACACATCAGAACAGAATTCCGAATCATAGCAACAAGGAGATTACTTGTAGTATTGTAGCAGTTTGTAAGTTACTGGTGAGAACAAGCGCGCTAGCAGACAGACGAGGATGATCTACGAGCAGCCATCATCACAAGCTTCCGTCGAGGTAGTTTTCCTCTCTATTTCACTTCATCCCGCAACGCCGGAGGTTGTGCGCTCCAAGACTAAATATGTGGTGGGTGTATGGTGACTATTTGGCTTGCTGATGCTAGTCAGTTGGGGCAATATCGGGTAGAATCTGCAGCTATCAAGACTGAGATGTGTGGAGATTGTGGGGATGCCTCGTAGAGCTACAGTGGGGCAGGTCGCTGAGCACGTCAGTATTTCTCAGAACAGGCCTGGAACCAGCTTTTTCAAGGATATGCCAACATGTTGTATTTCGGGCGCCAACAGAAGGGGCACCTTGCCCACTTCCTTACAACCCTCAGAAGCTCTGGATCCGATGAACTGGTCAAAGTGACCAAAATGTTTGCCGAAGCCATCGCCGCCCATTTTCAACTGGGCTCATTGTTCGAGGAAGTCACGTAGAGCCCTGAGGAATAAACCCACCTCCCTCGATGGCGATTGGAGCCATAGGCATCTTCTTTTTGAGGTCCTTCTATCAGAGATCCCCATGTTTATTCTCGAATGTTGATTTCTTTTCTTGCCGCCAAACGCCACAACAAGCTCTGCCGCTGAGATTTTGGAAAGTCGTGTCTGTTGCATGTGTACTTCGTCTTTCAGAATAAGAGTGCCCTTCTCGGTCAGCTGGAAGCTTTACGCCTTGCATGAAAGGATGAAAGAGTGAACAAATGAGCCTTGTATGGCCAAATGGCACATAGCAAGCAAAATTCGCGGGTCGTTCTCAAGATAACAAGCCCTTGCTTCTCTGTTACCATCATCCATAGCAGCTGCTGATTATGGCTAAAGTTTCTGGAAAGAGCTATATTTGCACACAACCTAGCAAGAGGAATTAGCCCCCATGTCCTTGGAGAATTGCTTGCTAGGTGCGGCCAAGCCCGGGTTCCGTGGTGTCCAAGAATTGTCCCCCAACGGGGACATTCTAGTTGAAGAAGCCTGAGTAACCGTCTGTCCTTCATGAAGAGACCGTTATAAACTTCCTCTCCTGTATAAAAGTAGATCTGAGTGAAAATCTGGCTTCTATTTTCTGTTGGAGGTGCTGCGAAGGAATCCTACAGGCAATCCGCATGCTATGTGTAAACGCTTCAGACATGCCCGTAATTCTTTCCTTCTCCTTCTCTCTTCCTCTAACTCTCCCTCGCGTCCTGATTTTCTCTTTTCTCACTCCCTTTCCTTTACCTTCTGCTTCTCCCTCTCTTTCCCTCTTCTCCCTCTCCCTCGCCCTTTCCATCTCTTTGTCTCTTTCTCTCTTTTCTTTCCTTCTGTGTTTCCTCAGTGACTGTGTGTGTGTGTGTGTGTCTTTTTCTCCTTCATTCTCTTTGTTTATGGCAGCTTGGGCAACTGTTTCTTCGTTTGACCTGCGTTTCAGAACGAACCACGAAACATCTCCTACAGTTATTCAGGCTTCTACATTTTGCTTGGCCAGAGGCAACAAAGGGCGCAGTTTGGAGCTGTTCCCCTTGCTTCACGGCACGACGTCTGTTCAGGTATCCATGCGACGCCAGAGGCGTCAGCCTAGCTAGGACCTGCCTGCCAAACGTCAGACCTATCGGACCTATCGTTCCCTCCTCATGCCGAGAAGCTGAAAAGGAAGTTTGCGTGCAGGGTGCGCTGTTTCTGCAGGGTTTGGTGCCCTCTAGGAATTGTCGTTTCTTGGCTTCAGGCAGGGTGCTTCATGTTGGAATGCCCAGGCCGGGTAGGTGTCTGAAGCGAGTATGCTCTGAATAGACTGAGGAGACGAGACTCTGTTCTCACCACCTGACAGTCTTACATTTTGTGTTTTTCTTCTGCGCGTCCTGGCAATTGCAGGACGCAGGCGAGTCTACTGCCAATTGTAGCACTATCTCCACTTCAAAGTTGCGAATGCTGTTTTCCAGCAAGAGATTGCTTCTAAGGTGAAATATCGTGTATGAGGGCACCCCCAAAACTGGATCCTCTGCTTTAAGCAGCTTCTTTAGAGCATCTTCACGTTGGAGTTGCACCTGCTGGTTTCCGAGATTTGCAGTCCAGGGCTTGAACCAGGACTCTGGACCTTGGTGTAGCTGATGGGGGCAACATAGGGACTACCCAGGAGTACGGGGAGAATAGAGCGACTATAGACAGGGCATAAATGGAAATGGGATTATGGGTCGCTTCGAGCTGTCCCTCCAAAGAACATGGCGTAAAAGTAAAAAATAGCACTCAGGCTTGCTTGCCTTCGACTACTTCAGGTTTACATGCCCTGTTAGCTGTGGGTGGAACTTGTATCTTCCAGCACTTCAGATTCCCGTAACACCTGATGCCATCCCTCCAAACTAAGAGTAGCAGTCAGATTTGCCTCTTCTAGGTTTCAGGAACGAAGGGATTTGTGATTGAGGGTTGAAGCTGCAAGTTGTGCAGGGCTTGAGGGCATAGTCATCCTGTCATCCACGATCCGTGGTGTTTCCTGTGCTGGCACTCAACGACCGGGGTAAGGATTTCAAGTTTTGGCGCCGTGGGGGTTTCATTATGGCTTGTACCAGTAAACATGCAGTTTGCAAGGCATCCAAAAGAGCAAGCCTCATTTGGGCTTTGCGAAACTTGGGATGCTTGCTTGGCGGTCATTATCGTAGGTTTCCTCAGATTGCGGGTATCCATTGCAGCACCCGGATTTTTCTAGCTACCATCCTTGCCTTTTTTTTCCTGTGCCTCCAGGTTGAGACTGAGGCAAGTAAATCCAGGCCTTCACACTTAAAACCCATAGCAATAATCTCTTCCCTCAAAGAATTAAGCTTACTTGGTGAGAAAGAATCAGGAAATCAGGGGGATATGCAGGATCATCGCAAGGTAAAGCGGGCTTGTCCAGATGGACCGCTGTCTACACTAAAGCTGAAGTTTGGGGTTTAGGATTGTTTGCAGGTGCTGAGTAGGCAAGGAAGTAACGGATTATCCGATGCGACTAGAAAGTGCAAAATCCTTCTCCACATGTTTTTCACCACAGAAGGAGGCCTTGTTTGTGAATCTACTGCTGGCTTGTACTTGCCGTTTTTCTATTGCAAGCCTATGCGACTGCAAAATCAAAAGGTTGGCTGCCGTACGCATCCCAAGCTGAACGAAGCTGAAAAAACAGGCATTGTCATTGATGTTGCCTTGGCAAAGTATTCTATAAGCAAATTTCATGTGTTTCGCATAGGCGAAAGTATGTCGTTCTTCTGAGGGAGTTCCTAGAATCATCTTCAAGGTATTGCGAGGCCCCAAATTTGGCACGTATGTGTATAAGCCTTGGCAACGTAAGTGGAAGCACAAGATCCTGTGGCACCAGAAGGATTTATCGTCAGGGTGTAGGGTTTAGATTTGGGGGGAGTAAGCGTTCTCAGATACAAGAGAACTGGCACCTCCTCAACGATACCACTCTAAAATCCCAGACCAGGGGGATGGGGTGGGACTGGTAGGATGTAGATCTAGATTCTGCTCGACACTCGGAGTTTAGGCCGCAGTTCAAGTAGTTCAGGCGACCCAAGTTAACACCAGGTCTTTAGGCAAACATTAATATGGACATGTGGAAAGAGTAGAGTCAGAATGTGCCCCGACAGTACTAGACCCCCAGAGTCCATAACATCGGCAAATACTCACCTCACATGCTGGCACCTGCGAATGACTGCTTCGCTGGCTCGGGTTCTTGAAGTGCTGGACACAAGAAGAATAAAGACATAGAGCATTCTTGGAACAGGTCCTGGAGCCCACCCCCCGAGCCTTCTGGCCCACAGCCTGTGCACATAAACCCCATCCCGAGTTTCAAACTCTGAAGCCAGAATCTTCAGCCTGAAACCAATCCACAG